CAGAGCTAACCGAACCCGTAGAACAACTTTATAACATGAAAGCATTTGCAGAGAGATTATATAATGTGAAATCCTCGTTTAGACAATAAGAAACTGGGAGTTTTTACTTGTGTTGTGCCATCTCACATACTATGTATCTACCTGAATTGATCACAAACATTTATTCCAGTCAAGCTGAAAAAAATCACAGCAGCATTAGTTTGGTATGTAGTATTACGGGAGTTTGGCAAGGCTGTATACTGTCGCCCTGCCTATTTAACTTATGCAGAGCACATCATGAGAAAGGCAGGGCTAGATGAATCACCAGTTGGAATTAAGATTGCTGGGAGGAATAACAACCTCAGATATGCAGATGATGCCACTCTCATGGCAGAAAGTGAAGAGGAACTAAAGAGCCTCTTGATGCAGGTGAAGGAGAAGAGTGCAAAATTTGGCTTGAAACTCAACATTAAGAAAACTAAGATCATGGCATCCGGTCCTCTCACTTCCTGGCAAATAGATGGGAAAGAAATGGAGGTTGTGACAAATTTCATTTTCCTGGGCTCCAAGATCACCACAGATGGGGACTGCAGCCAAGAAATTAAAAGACACTTGCTCCTGGGGAGGAAAGCTATGGCAAATCTAGATAGCATACTAAAAAGCAGAGACATCACACTGCCAACAAAAGTGTGTATAGTCAAGGCTATGGTTTTCCCAGTTGCAATGTATGGCTGTGAAAGTTGGACCATAAGGAAGGCTGAGCGCCAAAGGATTGAGGCCTTTGAATTGTGGTGCTGGCGGAGACTCCTGCGAGTCCCTTGGACAGCAAGGCAATCAAACTGGTCAGTCCTAGAGGAGATCAACCCTGACTGCTCTTTAGAAGGCCAGATACTGAAGATGAAACTCAAATACTTTGGCCACCTAATGAGAAGGAAGGACTCCCTGGAGAAGAGCCTAATGCTGGGAACAATAGATGGCAAAAGAAGAAGGGGATGGCAGAGGATGAGGTGGCTGGATGGAGTCACTGAAGCAGTTGGTGTGAGCTTAAGTGGACTCCGGGGGATGGTGGAGGACAGGAAGGCCTGGAGGAATGTTGTCCATGGGGTCACAATGGGTCGGACACGACTTCGCGACTAACAACAACATCACTGGCAGGAAAACATTAGAACAGGTGTGGCCAAACTGAGGCTCAGGAGCGACGTGTGGCTCTTTAAGTTTATTTTGCAGATCACTGCCCATGGGTGCCCACTACCATTTGTCACCACCTGTAGACACCCACTTACTGCTCGCCACCCACAGACACTGCCAGCAGATGCCCACTTGTGGCTCTCAAAAATCTGACATTTACCATATGTGGCTCTTCTGTTGAGCAAGTCTGGACCCCACTGGTATAGAACAATGTTCCAAGAACTTTACAATTTAAAATTTGGCATGGTGAGACATTGGGCAAAGGGGACCCAGGGGAGAAAATGCATTTAGAAAGTGCATTTAGTTCTACTTATTTGACATGGATACAGAAGAGTGTAGGGACTATGGGTTTGTTAAAATCTTCATGAGAAAATGGCCTTTTGAAATGGAATTTGAACAAAGTGAAGAGAAGTAGCATCATTAAGTTGATGTCTAGGCATAGGGGGTTAGAATTAGGCTGCACAGTTCTGGGAAGCAGTGAGATAACAAAAGCTCAGAGAGAAAGCTGAAGTTGCCTGGGTGAAAAAAGCATAAACCAGAGTTTGGAGCATATAGTTGGAATGGGCTATATTTTTGCAGTGTTGTAAAGGGAGAAATTGACAGGACTTGGCAACAAATATAGAGAACAAAGGTGTCCAAGATACAGCTAAAGCTTGGTGACTAACAGGATGGATGATTCCACTATGAATAAAAATGGAGAAAATGTGGGAAGAAGAATGTTCTTCTTGTGTTTCTTTCCTGGAAGAAGTTTCTTTCCTAGAAGGAGAGGTGAGAAGTTTGGTCACATTGTCACGAGTTGACAAAGCATCCAGGTAGAAATATCTGCAAAGCAGCTTGAGATATGAGATTGAAAAGAAGTAGGGGAATGGAGGGAGCTGGGTGTCAATGGAAAAGTGATAATGAAAACCATAGGATTTGGGGAGCAATCTGTAGAAAAAGTGAAGGAGAAAGACCAGAAGGAGGATTAAAAAATATTTTTGCAGGGGAGATAAGTTGGGCATTGAATGCATGCACAGACAGACTCCAGTGTTTCATCTCTCTGCTGTAAGGCCTAGAAATCGCCTGTCTCCTAAAGGTTCTTATAAATATGTGTGGGATGGGGCAAAATAGAAAAACTGAGGGGTTAAAACAGGTTGAAGAGGGGCTCAGAATCTTCTGTATGAAATGCCACCAATAGACTGGCAATGCACTGTTCCTGCTTTTCATAATAGGCTTTGGTGTTTGTTTGCTCAACAGAGATATGATTGATTAATTAGACCAACAAAAAGTAAACAAAAATGGGTGATTTTTCTGTGATTGGAAATTGGAGTCCATCTCTTTTCAATAGCCATTAAATTTGTGGACTTCTGTTATACTGAAATATTTCATAGAAATATCATACTGCTTACGTCAGGGGTGCAAAGCCTCCAGTCTACCGCACACCCCAGTCTGCTTTCATAGCCTCTAGGAGCTCCTCTAGGAAGTAGGCCTCAGCCTCCAAGCTCTGTCCTTGGAAAGAGTCCCCTCACAGATCATCTCCAGTGTCATCTTCAGTCTGAGATAACAGCAGTGCAGCCTTTTATCTCTGACCTCAAATTGGAAATAACAGGATGGTAAGGGCTCAGTAACCTTGCACAGCGCAGCAGGTGTGTGAAGACCTGTGCTTTTTCCCCTTACATTGTTCAAGAACCATCATCTGTGCTAAGAGGAAGCATAGAACTCTCTGCTTATGCCAGCATGAATGGAAAAAACTAATTTGCTTCTGCATTTGGTGTCTCTTGAAGATCTGCATCTAACCCATTTTGGCACAAATTTGCATCCAGATTGCAGTAATTTGCCACTATTCATAACTTACATTCTCCACCCCCAAGATTTATAAAAAATCAATTCTGTAATCAAAAGCCCTAGATCTACAAAAGTGATTTAAATATATGATTTGTATTTTGCTATTCTCACAGAAATTTTAGCTAACAGTTGAACTTACACTCACCTCCTTAAAACACCCATTTGTATAATGAATGCATACAATTAGATAAAATCAGAAGCTTTCTCTAGCTTGAAAGCAAAATCTTAAAATTTATGGTATAAATATATTCCAAGTGCTTTTTTGTGTAATTGGGGCTTCTGGAAAGAGTTGGCAAATGTGCCAAGCACAAAGTTCTTTTTAGCAAATCTTTCTACTTAGAGGGACACCATCACAATGACCTAGGTGGGGGTTTGGATCTGCTTCCCCTACAGACTTTTTGCAAGCTCCACTGCAACACATCATGACTTTGTACACACGCTGCTCTTGAGGTGACAGCCAGTACACCTTAAGGGGTAAGATTTGCCAAGTCCACCAGCTGCTGATCTCTTTGCAAGGGTCTGCTTCCTGGTGATGCATGAAGATACTGTGATACAAAATATGTTGAACATGTGTCATTCTTTTCTGTTGGCAGTAGATGAACAAACAATGGAAGTCATCCTGTGAGGATTTCTTACAGGCACAGTAGATATTTAAAAATGAGAGAACTCAGTATATGCCATCACAATGAATGTCATAAAAAACTCACCTATGTATAATATTATATGCATTGCAGCCATACCTTTTGTTGGTATATACCCGAAAAGGATTTCTTTACATTACAGAACTCACTATAAAACGCAGTTATTTTGTAACGTGTGAAGCAGTACTGCTAGATAAACCTTATTCAGAGAGCAGCTCTATGGCCACTACACATAGTGAGATTCTTCTCTCTGAGGCCGAGACAGCAGTCTGCCCTTGGGAGGGCGAGTCAGAGATCTGCCACTGCCCTCTCACTGCTGGCGTGGAACGAAGCACACCGTATGGCCTTGAAAAGAGACCTCAGAGAGTGGGAGAGGGGTGCAGTTCACTGGGCAGGGGGAAGAGGCAGCTGGAGAGGGGTAGAAACAAGTATCCTGAGCTTTACCCAGCCTCCTCTTCCCCCCCTCCAAAGTGCCATCACTAGCAAAGGGCTGGGCAGGCGGACAGGGAGCCAGAGATCACTCCTGCTTGGCTTTGGATAATAGACTTAAGTTTGAAGGCTTCTAATCATCAAGGGTTCAATAAACAGTACTGCAGCCTCAATAACTTATCTTCCCCCAGCCTGGCACACTCCCACGCTGGCTGGCTTGTACCCCCACAGCAGATAGTACCAGGTTGGGGAAGGATGACATTTTTGCTTCCATTTTTCTGTCAGCAAGTTACTTTAGTAGGAAACATAGTAAATGCCAGACCACAGACAAGTCTACAGTCTGTAGAGTTTTGGTTGAATATTACAGCATGGCAGTCATTTGAGTGAAAGTTTTGAGCTAGATGTTGTTTCATGTTGACGCTAAATTTAATCTGAGAAATTACAACTTGTTCTTTGCCATTTTTAAATAGCCAGCTTAAAAGCCCATTTTGCATATACTTTAACCACAAAAGTGCATAGTTTCCTCCCTCCCCTCAAACCTTTGATAAGATTACAGTGATGTTGCTTCCTGAAAGACACTGAGAGATTTTATATTCTGGTTTGTGGATGTACAGATGTACTTCAAAAGCCTTTGGTATCGCTGACACTATTCTGCTGGCAGCTGTGTACTGAACTCCTTGTTCTGGACACCTTGCCAAGTACTTTATGCAAAACTAGGTTTTCAGTGAACCAGGTTTCATTGTTTTTAATGGCAGCAGTACGATATACTGTAAACAAGTGTGGCTTGTTATGAAGCATGGAGAGAAAATTTCCACAGACTGCACTTCTGAAACAAGGACAGTTTTGTTATTTTCAATGGTGCATTCTTTCTGTTCTCCTTCATGCTGCAACTGAGATGTTTATAGCTAAAGGTTCAGATAGTGCAATTTTCTTTTCTAGGAACTTGGAATTAGGATCCCTAGACCACTGGGACAAGGACCAAGCAGATTCATCCCAGAAATGGAGGTGTGGTGGTTTTTGTTTTGCAAGTACATGGTGATCTTCTTGCTTTTGGTGGGAAAGCAGGGGAGGGTAATAGTCAGATATCATTTTAGCTAAGGAACAGCTGTTGATCTACAAAGTGTTCTATCAAAAGATGAACACAGTAAGTCATGATGAGAGCTTGGCACATTTCTGCCAAATTATAAATGTCCATGTAAAACAATGACATTTAATGACACATTTTACATTAATGTATCTTAAACTCAGTACATATATGGATTAATTTGTCCTTTAATTGTAGTAGACATACTTAAATAGGCCTAATTAACCAGCACAACTTCAGCTCAGAGATTATATGAATGAGAAGTGGTAAGTGAGTGACATTTGGGGCTTCTTCACAGGATGGTTGATATGGGATGCTGGTGGCAATAAAAGGTTTTATTGATGCAAATTTCAGCAGCTTAACTATAAATATGTTTTCCTGCTACAGTTAATTGCCTAGACCAGTGGTTCTCAACCTTTCCTTCGCCACAGACCCCCTTTAAATACCTTTTGTGGGCGAGGATGACCAAGACTTAACTCAAGTTTTAAAGCACTAGACTGCATCAACTATTTATTTCAATTTTCTCATTAAGGGCCTTCAGATTTGGAGAGAAGGGGAAATAGGTTAATCTGTTAATGCACATACTCCTATTATAATATCTTTATTGCAATGATGCCATACAAATTTCAAATAATAGTATCAACACTCCTTTTGCTGAACTGGCCCATTTTATGGTATTTTGACATGCTAATTCCAAATTTGATGTCAATTTTTACATTAAAAATTGATGAAAAGTTTTTACAATTCTTCTCACTTCTCACTTCTTCCCTTGTTTGTCTGTGTTCAGTCACCATATTTTTTTTCTGATTGTTTTTAATTGAGGCGATAGGTTAAAAAAGCCAAGTTTTACAAAACAAGCATGGAAAATTAAGGGTTTTTTTTTTTCTATTTCCCATTCCTTCTTGCTTTCATTTGTTCATTCAGATTTAACTGCAAAAAAACATAACATTTCTTCAAGCCTTCACAGGCCTCCTGTGACAACATCTGCGGACCACAGGTTGAAAACCACTGGCCTAGACAGTTCTTAGCATTTTCTAGGAGTTTGTCATTGCACCTATACAGGCTGCCATACTGCCCTTCACTAAACATTTATCCCAGTTAAAGTTTGCTTAAATGCCTCTGGAGGCACAAGTTACTAATCTTAAAATTAATCAAGTACATTACTGGAAAATCTCTAAAGCAGCTTAATGTTATGAGTAGTATTTCTTTTTATAGATCAAGGCTTTAAGAACTGATTTAGGCTTATCATCAAGTGTGCACAATGGTTGTCATTTTTTAACCTCTTAGCAAATACTCATACAATGTCTTTCTATTTCAAATAGATTCTCCGAGTGAGTGCTGAAGATACCCAAATGCATGCTTTATTTGCCGAGTCTTTCTCAGCGTTAGGACACTTGGACAACGTTACCTTAGTGATGGTTTTCCACCCACAGTATTTGGAAAGCTTTTTAAAAACACAGCATTATCTGTTGCAAATGGATGGACCCCTGCCTCTTGACTATCGCCACTATATAGGTATCATGGTAAGCACAAAAACAGTAACAACCTTTTTGCAGTTTTATGTATTTGGGCACCTTGGATATCGTTATACTTAAGAAAACATGTTAGCTTTATAAAGTTTCCTAATTTGTAGCAGTATTATGTCTTACCTTCTGAATACAGTGCATTTTCAGCATTTTGATGTCATGCCCTTGATTAGAACGTACGAAGGAGCAAATATGTTGAATCTTCTTTTTAGCAATATGCCTTTACTTTTTCCCCTGGCAGTCAGTTTATATTGGAATAGACAACATGATGCCCTCCAAATGTTTGGCACTACAGTTATTAACTGCAGCCAGGACAACAGATACCCAGAAACCTGGCTGCAATCCAAAACATCTGGGGCTTGCCAAATTGCCTGTCCATGGTGTACATTATAAACTTTTTGTGGAATGGCTGTAATAGTTTGAACTATAGTTTTCTGCTTGCTTTGAACATTTCTCTCATACACAAAGCTGGTCTGCATGTTCAAACCTCACTTACATGGGAAATCCAGCTTTAGCTTTCCTTACGTTTGGACTTGGTTTAAAAGTAGCCAAGGTGGCTCTAACTCTATTTGAAGCACTGGTGCTGAGTGAGGAGGCTCCTATCCAAAAGTAAGTATATCACATTTGTTTATAGCTTTTGGCAAATATAACACCTATACAAAAACAAACTACCAAAACAGCTAATGTAGAGCTACTAACAGCACTTTGAAGATGGAGTTAGATCATTAGGGAAATGACATAAGGAAGGAAGGGTTAAACAGTCTTGCCACTCAGCAGTGTTACTTCAATTAAATTTGGAGCCCCCTGCGGCTGCTTTTAAGCAAAGCCCAGAATGTCAGCAATTCAATTATCCATCCTTGGTAAGTTTTAGTTTTTTAGTCAGCCCCAAGATGAATGCTGTGGTTCCAGTGGTATTGCTGCAGCTTTTCAGGAAATCTGTTTAAGTAAGAGAACTATAGTTAAAGGAATAAACACCACAAATGATGATTTTTTGTTAAAATACTGTGTGCGCGCTCTCTCTCTCTCTCTCCCCCCCTCCCTCCCTCCCTCCCTCTCTCTCTCTCTCTCTCTCAGTGTTTAAGAGACTAAAATAGCAGAACCAATAGTTTCTTCCATGGGCTGGAAGTAAAAATCTTAAGATCAGTAAAACTTGTTTCTGAGACTCGCTTATAAAGTGAATACATTTATATATGATAAAGTAGCAAAAGTTGCTGTAACACATTGTTTTTGCATTATTTTCTTGATCCAATACAAAGCTTTCGCGTAAAAGCTGTGAAATATAATACATAAGCATTTTTGTGGAGTAGATAAAGTTTTATTTGCAGTTGTTTTCCTGTTTTTGAGCACATTGCACTGTGTGCTTGCTCATACTTGTCGGGTTGGTCAAAGAGCCTCACTGTAAGGTATCTCTTAAATGTGTCTTTTCCAGGCTGCAGCTAGACATCAGTGCTCTTACTTGGTTAACCTCCATGTCAATTACTTTCTACATGTTGGGGGAGATCCTAAGTGGCTGAGTGGTCTACAGAATGCACCCCAAAAACTGCAGAATTTAGGTGAACTGAATAAAATGTTGGCACACAGACCATGGCTCATTACAAAAGAACATATAGAAGTAAGTGTCTTCTAAAATATATACACTGTATTTTGGTACTATACCTTTTGTGGAACTTGGATGTTTTTTGAAGCCTGTAGCCCAAATCAGTAACTTTAAGGGTTTGTTGGCACATGCTCCATGAATACGTCTGTTGGCACTCTACTCTTGGGGACTGTTCAGAAGCTGCAGCTTGTGCAAATTGTGGCAGCAAACTGTGGCAACAGTTACCATAAGCATGTGACACCAGTTCAGCCTGCTTGAATTGGCTGCCTATATGTTGTTGAGCAATCCACAATGCTGGTTTTAACCTACATAGCCCTATATGGCTTGGGACCACAATATCTGACAACACTTTTTCTAACCGCAAAATACTTGTATACTGTGATCAAGAACTGGGACTTGCCTCTGATTGCCACCTCCAAGGCAGGCTTGGTTGTTAGCAGCAAGGAAAGGGCCTTTTCAGTCATGGCCACCCAGTTATGGAAGGTGCTCCCACCTGGCACCAACCTTGATATCTTTTCAGCAGCGGTTTAAGACTGTGATAGAATGACAGGGCATTTATATGCTCAGGACAGTTTTAACATTATTTGGGGCACCGTCAGTGGCTTGAGTAAGCTACTGTAGCTTTTGTAATTCAGTTTTTAAATTCTGTATTGTGTTTTATGATGCTTTACTGTACAGTATTTTTACTGTATTTCATCAGTTGCTATGAACTGCCCAGAGAACTCTGGCTATCGGACAATATACAAATAACAACAATAACAGTAGCAGCAACGACAATAAAGTGTGTCATAAGATGTTAAAACATTCAGTCATCTTAATGGAAACACAAAATTCAAATGATTGCACTGAGCAATATTCTTATTTGAACATTCTGTTCACTACTGGGATGCCCTGCAGGTTTGGTTTGGTTTTGTTTTGTTTGTTTTTTTTACTTGACATTCTAGATGTATAGTTCTCAAAGTATACGGGCATGATTTCTTAACTCCTATATCTTTGGCAAGTGAATTCATATCTTTGACATGTATCCCTTGATGTAGAATTGTCATTTAGGGATACTATAGAATCTGCTTCCAAAATATTGGAGAGCACAATTCAGTGGCTTCTAGACAAGCACCTTGGGCACCACAGAATGCTGGTCACTTTCTCCAGGCCCAGATACAAGGAAGAGATCAGACTGTAGATCTTCCTTTTCCCTCCTGCCCTCAGCCATTGCTGAAAGCTGCTTTTAGGGGGTCACAACTGCAACTTTGTAATCTGAGAGGGAGAAAAGGGGAAGTGCAGATGGATCAGGAGAGGAGAAGCCATAATGCATAATATCTTATGGGAACTCCTTACCTCAAAAAGTCAGACCCATGTAACTGTGTAAACTGCCCAGGAGCCTTTGGGCTGTGGGACGGTATTAAAATGAAGTAAATAACTTCTTTTAATGTTTTAAACAAAGGCAAAAATCATCTCTTGCCCAGCTTGGTTCTTGCCAACAGGCCATCAGGTATGAGGGGGCTCCAGGCTCAAAGGTCCTCTCCCGGCCAGAGTGCAACTCACAGGATTGAGCACAAAGGCTTTTTGTAAACTTTTCTGAACTTCAGAAGTAGCCATCTGTTTTATCTTTCACTTGTCAAGTCTGAAGTTCCTAAGAGTTGTCTTCTGTTTGTGTAAGTTTTACTAAAATCCCAAACAAGAAAAGACCAACCCATTTCCTTCTGGATTGCAAAAACTGGGATTTTGCACTGCATTTACCAATTCCACGGTACTTGACTGAATCAGTTATTAACTTTCCTCTCTTGACATTTAGTTTTACATATTTCACCCATTTGTTAGTATGTATTGCTTCAAAAGCTACTTTCTATTTAGCACTTCGGATACTTTATCTTCATTGCAAACAGCTACTGCACATTTGTTTCTAAAACTGAGTAAACTATTCTGAAACTTTGAAATAAAGGATAAATTGTGTAGGTTGGCCAAGTGAGGCAGAACTATAAAATATTCAACATCCAGGTCCCTGAATTTTCGTAGCATTATCAGAGTGCATTTCACAAGTTTAGCCTCTTGCTAAAAAAATTGCTGGTCCATGTACAATTACATTTGTGAGGTTATGTAAACAAGGTGAAGTTTCTGAGACTGACAGAATGTTTAAATCTTTTTTTTTTCCTGAAGCAACTTCTAAAGACTGAAGAATATAGCTGGTCACTGGCAGAACTGATCCATGCTGTAGTTCTCCTTACACACTATCATTCACTTGCCTCTTTCACATTTGGCTGTGGAATCAATCCAGAAATTCATTGTGATGGGGGTCACACGTTCAGCCCTCCTTCTGCCAGTGATTATTGTATTTGTGATATTACAAATGGAAACCATGGTGTGTATGAGATGCAGGGCCTAGCTGCAAATATTGTAGTAAGTATTTCATATCTTGTACAAGTTAAATTTATGAGTGTTTCCTTGAGCAGCTCCACAGACAGTACAGTATATTCACAATTGTAAACATATGCTGTCATTTTC